CCCCCCCCCCCTACCCCCAGTGGCCTTTAAGGAGACCAGCTATAGCTGGACAGCCAAGCAAACCAAATTGTATGGTGTGGGAAGGTAAGTGCCCCTGGGTAGTTAAGAAACCAAGCAAAGATGCTTCTACTCATTGTGTGGAGCCTCAGCCACTGCACAGCTGGAACGCAAAGTCACAAAGGTGATAGAGTTTTACAGATTTCATTCTGGCAAAATCCATCCTGTGAAACACTATTTTGGGCCCTGCTGTGCTTCTGGTACACTCCCTACACACTGACACAGCTTGAAGAGGATTCTAAAGGGTGAGAGAGAAAATGTTCCCTCTCTAATCTCCATATCAAGTTAGTGTCATATGATAGGCTTAGTAGTTTCATATTTTCACTTTTTTATTATCTTAACAGATTGTGTTGGATGACTAAGACTGTATTTCACAATGAAAACTTGTTAGCCAAAGCACACTGAAGAATCAAGATGTAGACACACAACTCAGTAAGAAGCAAAAAGGCAAAGAAATAAAAATGCAAGAGAGGAAAGAATTTGTAGAAATGATAGCTCTCCCCACCAAATGCCACTGAAGCCTGCCTATGTCCTAGCAATTGATGGTCCATAAACAATCTAGGATAAATAACCAATATAGCCTTTAATCTAAGATGATCACCTTAATGTATTTAGCATTTTCATAAAAGTAGGAGGCAAGGAGAGTAGTAAATTAGCAAACTTGCTAGATTATAAAAGACAGAGTCACTCTGGTATTACCAGTCTAGCAAATCACTTTTTAGATCTGTGCCCTCAACCGTAAATGAAGAAATACACTAAATCTTCATTCAAATAATACTGAAAATAATACAGTTTAATTCCCTATCAGGACTTTGGAAAGGCGAATAGGACACAGTCCTAAGGTACAACAATGAATTCTGTTAAAAGACAATCACAGTTGCACATTTCATCACTATAAAAGTTCTTATGTTAAAAAAAACTACCCTCAAGGCCTTGTCTAGGAAGCACTCTACACAGAACTCGGCATAAGACAACACTGCAAACAGGCACGGGTCAGACACTCCCAGCCTGCGGCGTCTGCCTGGGCCATCGCGAGAGCAGTGCACACTGAGCATGGGGACTAAACCACACTCTACCCCAAGGAAGACTGCCAGCTCTTCCAGAAATCCTTTAAGATTCCATTTTCTCGGTAGCTCCCTCACTACTTTACTTTTGATTTTAAAAACTTCAAATGTGAAATGTGCACACACACATACACATACGGCCACACTGATCATCTGTCCTGTAGCTCACTTCCCCAAACAGATTACTTGGAAGCAAATCTCAGAAACAGACTCCTTTTTCCACATTCCAAGCACTACATTTTTAGAGCATAGCCCATACACTAGGTAATAGTGAGAAAAGGCTTTTAAAGGCAAACACCATTAGAAAAAAACAAGCCATGCAAACGCAACAAAAACGGGAGGCGGGATTATACAGAGTGGTATAGATGTGTGCTTCCAGAGCTCCCAAGAGCAGATATTTTTACATCGCGACAGGAAAACCAACCCACAATAACCACCACAGTGAATAAACACACTGTAAATGCAGCTTCTATTTTAAACCTAGAGTTGTGAAGCTTTAATTTAGGGCTCATTTTTACTATAGGTGCTCTCCCTACAAATAGTGAGCAGCTGTGAAAGTAGAACTCTGGTGTCACAGTATTGGTGCTGGGTCTGGCGAGAAGAGGGCTGATCCTGTGTTTGTGAAGAGCAGCCCCCTCCATCCTTGTCTGCCTCCTCATTGACATCTGAAGTCCCAGACAGCTGGTGATCTCCTTAGGCCCAGAGTCTTCTGGTTCTCAAGGAAAAAAGATCTTGCCAACCGACCCTGGGGTCTAATGGCATGGCAGTGCTCCGTCAGTGCTGTGAGTGGGTCTCCATGGTCAGAGCCATACATTCCAATGTGGAGCTCTCGGTTCCCCTCTCTTCCGTCCAAGTGAAAAGGAAGCTTGGTTAACACTTCTTTTCTATAACAACAAATACTTCTTTTCTATTACAACATGAGACACCGGGCTGCAGGTCTGTTTTATGTTCTGTCGAAGGTAGAACAGGTCACAGGCGAGGCGGGCAGAGATGGCTGTGGTCTGGAAGACGAGTCACAAGCCAGGAAGACCGTCTCAAAACCTTTTAGATATGGCTTCCAGAAATGGACAGGTGTCTCTGGTAAACTGTACTCCTTTCTCCTGCCTAGGTTTCAGGTGATGCAGTGGGCACTTTGCACCCTGCTTGTCCCAGCTCTTTTGTTCTTGAGTCCATCAACCTCGGGCAGCTTACCTCATGAGCCCACAGGAAGAGGGACCTGCTTTTAAAAGCACAGACAAAATCTGGGGCCAGCTTTTGAATCACACTTGGAACCCTGCAAGCTGGAGGAGACACATATCTCAAACACCCGGTCATCTAGAACCTCTCAATGGTTTTTGAAAAATCGAAAAACGAAGGCCAACTGATGAAAATGCAGACTCAAACTGCTCAGAAGGAAGTAATGGTCTGGCAGGAAAGTCTGCTTTGGTCTGTAGCATTAGCAGCCAGTGTGTAAACATTCATTATGAGTCCTTACCAATGCGTCAGCAGAGCAGACAATTCCACCAGTCTGCCTCGGCAGCCCTCCTGGGTACCTACCAGTAAGTACCAGCACCTTGCGAAGTTAGTTCCATGCCGTCCACTGAGTTGTAGCTATCATCATCCATGATCTTGGAAAGACCAAAATCCGTGATTTTTATCTCACCACACGCGGTACCATTTACTAAGAGAATATTACCTAGAACAATTGAAAACAAACAAGAACTTATTGATTAGAAGGAAAATCCGTACGGGCCACCAAAACATTAAAAAAAGAGAGAGAGAGAGAGGAAAATCCAAGGGGACGACTGTTCACCAACTCTTGCTAGCACAACTCTACCTCCCTCAAATAATTTGACTTGGACTCCGGATGCGGGGGGAGACTGTGCAGACTTCTTGTTTCCAAGAATCACCTGCGTAACATGCCAAAGCCCTACTCTGAGCCCTGGGGAGGGGAGAGCCACTCAAGTAAACAGCACTTGTAAAGTTGGTCAATGGTGGGAAATTCTCAATTCAAACTGTCTCTAAAGATCTGGAAACCACTACGTTTAGAACAGCAGCCTCAGGATAACAAACAGATGAGTAAGACAGCACCCAAGGGAACAAGGCTAGCACCACAGTGCCACCTACAGCTCTGGTAGAAGGGACACGTGTGGGAAACCCAATCACATAACGGCCGTCTTGTAAAAATCATAACGTGTAGTTCATCTTAAAGTCATATGAATAACATTAGAACATTACAGAACAGAGAGAGTTGATATGCAACTTCCAGTAAAGAAAAGCAAAGTTAATAACTGTAGCACATATACAAAGAGGTACACAGGAATCATTTTCCTAACACCCAAGCTACGTTAATTAAAGCTGTATACACAGACAGAAAGACAAAAAACCCCACAAAAAACGAATAAGGATAACCCAAAACACCTAAAACAAAAAAGGAGAGCGAATAAGAAAATTAAACGAGAGGAGAAGCCTCCAGGAGTCCTCTTAACTTTTTTACTGTGGCTGAAAGCAAAAAGGAAATTAATTGTACAAAAAGATGAAAAACACCTTGTTCAGAATTTAATGGAAGGCACACGTACAAGATGTTAGCTTTGGGGACACTATCAAAGGGACTTGGGGCAGAGGACATGCTACCCAGTGTGAGTAATGGGAAAAACAAAAAGGAGTTGCCAGGACTGTGCTTTCTTCATCAGTCTGCCGCCATCCTGGACACCCTGGTTCTGAAATCAAGGGCCCCACTACAGTCGGCAGGACCCGCCTCCTAGACCCAGCACTGGCAGCTTTTATTCCCACACCTACCCAGCCAATCTAAACCTTCTTGGCTCATGCCAGACTCTCTAAAGTTATAAAATCAAATGTCACCTGTAAGAGCAATCTCAAGCTACCAAGCTTGCCTCCTAAAAAAAGGTCAGACTTACCTGGTTTGAGGTCATAGTGTATGATGGGAGGTTTTATTTCATTTAAGTACTTTAAAGCATTCACGATCTGCATGATAATGGACCGGGCCTCTTTCTCTGACATTAACTTGTGCTGTTTCAGGTAGAAGTCCAGATCATTCCCCTCACAGTACTCTAATACTGTACAAAACCTAAGGACAAACAGACCCGGCTTTAATCACGGGAGAAGAACAAGCAGCTTACGACCATCGAAACCAGATCTACTGAAAACTTCTGGATGATATTAGCTTGTTACTTTTGTCCTTACAGTGGTCTTCAAACCACACCCCTGCCCTTGCTCCACACCCCCAGTATTATCTACCTTGCACTATGTACAGAAACTGCTTTCTGCACCCCCAAACCCCACCACCCACGTTAGAGCCTGTTATGCTCAAGTTCCCCCAGGATATATACGTCTTGAACCCCAACTATAACAATAGACTGACAAGAACTATTAATATACAAGACGCCTTCTTGGGAGCTCTCCTTCTCACACGGTGACACACTTCCATTTCTAACAAGCACATTGTGAGCACACATAATCCTCATCACAAATGCCAGATGATAGAATCCTGAGCGTCAGCAGTGAAGAGAAACTAGGTTTGCCCAGATCCCAAGAACTGGTTGCATACCAAGTCTCCTGGGATGCTGGCCCAATATCACCCCACAATTTCTCCTCACAAGACAGAAGGTGTAAAGGCGTCTTTTAAAAGATAGTATCTGTGGTTCTAACAAATGCAGCGCCTTAGAGTATGGATTCTGTTTCCTTCAGTCATGCCACTATATTACACAGACCCCAATTTAAATCTATATACCACCTAGGGCTTAAGGGTGTGTGTCTACCTCTCAAGGGAGTTATTAACTGAGGAAGGCTCCTTGAACTATTTGAATATCCCCAAATTTCCAAGTTGCGTCAACATGGGGTATACTAGTCAGGGTCCAGCCAGGAAACAGAGACCACTTGAAAATATTTAAATCAGAGGCTTTAATTCCTGGATGATGGCAGAGACAAAATGACCAGTGACTCATCCTAGAGATAATCTATAGCCTAAGACCAGAGGGGCAGGTGGGAATGGTGCCACCAGAACCCAAGGGCCAGGGTCAGTAGGGGCACATAAACCAGAAGAGCTGTGATGGAGGGCAAGCAAGAGGACTTTGGGTTCCCCTCCTTGGCCCCCAGCTCTAATTCCCATTGGTAAACCCAGTTGGGTGTCAAGTGACACAGGAACCAGGTAAACAAAGCACACAAAGGCCAAGCCACCTAAATGCAGAACAGGGGAACGGGTCAGGAACCAATCTGCGGGCAAGCAGGCGCAGGGCAAGCACTATGGACTCCTGGGTATTTTACAGTATCAAAAAGTGCTGAGCAGACAGAGCCCTTTGGATTCCCCACACTGAACAACAGTTTAGCTTATTAAACATACCAGGCACGCTGCTTGAGAATAAATAAATGCCCAGCATTTGTACATCAGACCTAAGATACTGCAATCCGATGCTCAGTGGTTATTCTTGCAAGCTAGAAATCCCACTTTCAACACCTGTACAACCCTCAGGGATAACTTCCTTTTGATGAAAATTCACCATCATAAGCTAGAAAAACTAAGTAAACTCAAGAACAGCACGGGCTCAACTTTTCACAATATTTAATGTATATATACAATTCAAAATGGCAGATAATGGAACATACACAAGTAAGTAAAATGTGGATAAACAAAAACATCATTATCACTGAAATCGCTTCTATATTTACATTTCAGAGTGTGTGCGTCTATCTAGTCTTCAAGAAATTGACTCAAAGCAGAAAAAGGGTGTCTGGAAATGGAATGTAGTTGCAATTGTACAATTCTACTTGATGTGACTGAACTATGGAACGATATCTGTATTAAACCCCAACTAATAATAATTTAAAAAATAGAAGTCAGAACACAAACTACTAAAAAAAAGTTTTTTTAAAAAATGGACTCAAAGCAATACGGTGAAGACCTGCCCTGAAGTTGGGAAACCTCCAGTTTTCCCACCCTGTCCTCTAACTCGGGTCTTCCTGACCACTCTGCTAAAAACACCTGGCTGTGCCTGGTGCCAGGGCAAGCCCACTGTAGAGAGAGAGCTCTGAAAGGATGGAAGAGGGGACAGTCCAGACTTCCTGAGGGAATTATGGTCTCCTTTGGGGTCACTTCCAAACATACACCAATTCTCTGTATAGCATCTCTGAAATGACTGATGGCGGGAATAAGTGAATTCCTAGTCACCTGGGGACTTCGGGGGAATGAATACGTGCAGGCTAAACCTGAGATCTATTTTCCTGACTCAGTATACACTCCTACAGCAGAAACGTTTCCGAAAAAGGAGCTATCTCTATGAATACTTCTATAAAGCTCTGGAGCATCCCTCCGCCAGGCTAACAAAATGCAACAATGCCCAAGAGGACTAAGCATGCACATTATTCCACTTTTCTGGTTCTCAAACCTCCACCTATAAGATGAGAAAGTGGGGCTCTCACAGACCTCCCAATCCTGAGGTCTCCTGAGCTCCTAGGTTAACAAGCAGCACAGGACTAGGCTTCAGTTGTGCTGAATCCCTGTCTTGTTCAGAGCCAGGGTAGAAGCAGTGCTGGGACTTCGACACAAGACCGGTTGGTGTTAGTCAGAGTTGCCAGGGTGGAGAAGGGCTCCAGAGGTGTACTGGCACCAATCTGAACCAGCTCTCCAGAGCCAACTGTTTGCTAATTCTCCAGAAAGTCTGTGAGCTGGTCATTAAACTGTTGGTAGCACAAATGGAGAAGCAAAATGTGGTATTCGTCAGCAAGTTGGTTAACTCTTGAAAACATTATGCTAAGTGAAAGAAGCTAGTCACTGAAATCCAGATATTATATAATCCCATTCATCTTAAAGTGCAGGACAGGGAATCGAGAGAAAGAAAGTGGATTAGTGACTGGGGGATCAGGGAGCTAGAGGGATAAGGATAAGGCCTTTTTTTGTGGGTTGATTAGAATATTTTTTAAATTGACTATGATGATATGTTATCCGCACTTACCTAGCAGTATACGAAAAACCTTATTGTACACTTCAAATGAGTGAATTATAAAGTATGTGAATAATATCTCAGTGGCTGCTAAAAAATTTTGGTAACTCAAAATTACTCAGGGTGGGAGTATTTACACCATAATTCATACATGGCTAACTGCCCGTGTACTGGTAAACCACTTTTGAGTTGCTTTATGGCACTTTGCTTTTACAGGAAAAGTGAAAAACGAAACCAGGTTGGACATCTGTTTGGCAGTGATCTGTTCATGAGACAGGTGCCCACCCTGAGCAGCAAGAGGAGCGCCAGCAAGTAAGCGCATTCCCTGGGGACTGAACACTGCCTCAAGCCATCACAGTGAACGTAGTATGGTAAGGTGTTGAGGTTTTATGTACTATTTGGGTATGACTTAGTAATATTTTTGAAAGACATGGATACACTCAAAAGTCTTTCCCATAAAAATTAATGGTAGTTGAAACTCCATTTTGCATCATTTTGGCTTGTAAAATGTTTCATAGGAACTCGACTTTTGGACAGTAGGGACTAGTAACATAACTAATTTCTTCAGAGTAACTAGATTTCGGCCCTAATCCATGAGCAATCAACGCACTGCAAGAATATACTAACTGCTAACAACGTGGCACAGCACTTACGAGTCAGTGTCCAGTGAGAAGTAATCATACAGCTTAACTATCCTGGGATGATCCAGTTCTTTGTGAATCCGGTATTCCCTACACGCATGCCTGTAAACAAAATGGGAAATCAACAAAGAAGTTATATTGACCTCCCTTTTAATACTTCCAGGGCCATCCTCAATAGTCTCTCATCTCTCCACTCTTTTCTCCACTTGTTCCACCCAGGTCTATCTCTATTTCTCTGCTATAACAGAGAGTTGTTGAGACTAGCTAGTGTTCAAATTATCTGTTCAATGAGTGGATGTCAACCTTTACCCCTTTGAAAACTTGGTATTATGACCTTATCTCTTTTATATTCAAACATCAGATATTTTAAAATGACAAAGTCCTTTTCTTCTCCTATAAAGCTAACTATATTTCATACTTGCAAATGCTAATACACGGAAGTCACATCAAGGAGATCAACTTTATCATGTAAACTCCTTGGACAGTGGGAAAACCTCCCATGTAAGTCACTCAGTAGTGTTTTGGTATTTGTTTGCTAGTCTTTAAAATTGTACCTCCTCCCCTCAGGGCCAATAACGAGAGTAGTGAAACTGGGAGGCTAAGGTAAAGGTGTGGGGATAAGGGGAACCAATCACAATGATCTACATATAACCCCCTCCTTGGGGGTTAGACAACAGAAAAGTGGGTGAAGAGAGACATTGGACAGTGTAAGACATGACAAAATAATAATAATTTATAAAGTATCAAGGGTTTGTAAGGGAGGGTGGGGAGGGGGAAAATGAGCTGATACCAAGGGCTAAAGTAGAAAGAAAATGTTTTTGAGAATGATGATGGCAACAAATGTACAAATGTGCTTGACAAACAATGGATGTATGTATGGATTGTGATAAGAGTTGTATGAGCCCCCAATAAAATGATTAAAAAAAAATACTACCTCCTTAAAAAAAGATTAAAGGTGCTACCAGCTTAGTTTGTTCTAATAAAATAGGCAATTGATAGAAATTTTCTTATAGAAACCTCAATTTTCTTAGGATGGAGAACTTTCTTTTAAAAATCATTTCATTTGGAGCCCTTACAGCTCTTATACCAATTCATAAATCCACTGGGTCAAGCACATTTATACATACGTGCCATCAACATTTTCTTTCTTTTAAAAAAATTTTTATTTTTTATTTATTAATCATTTTATTTGGGGCCCTTACAGCTCTTATCACCATCCATCCATCCATTGTGTCGAGCACATTTGGACATTTGTTGCCATCGTCATTCTCAAGACATTTTCTTTCTACTTGAGCCTTGGTGTCAGCTCCTCAGTTTTTTCCCTTCCTCCCCCAGGAACCCTTAATAATTTATAAATTGTTATTTTTTCATGTCTTACACTGACCGATGTCTCCCTTCACCTACTTTTCTTTTGTCCGACCCTCATGGAGGGGGTTATATGTAGATCCTTGTGATCAGTTCCCACTTTCTACCTCAACCTTTCCCTTACATTCATGGAGGATGGAGAATTTTAATATTAATACATTTGTACCTTTTCAATGGTCCTTTTTCAATTTAAAAACATCTAATAAGATCAGGAACAAAAATTCATTGTATACTCTGACAATCAAACACTGAATTTAAAAATAAAGCATGTTTACACAATGCAATTATCCATCTTTCTGTGAAGTGTTCTGCTGTTATTTACAGAGAGAGCAACAGGGAACAATTCTATTTTACGCTCCTAGTGCTCTTCAGTTGGGGTCATTCTATTACCAGGCTAGAATCAGAAAACAACTTTACCACAGTATGTACCATACTGGTTTTTTAACACAAGGTGTTTAAAAGCAGCCTTCTGAGATTGATGTGTTCTACCACTTCAAAAGTACAGAGAAAGAAGGAGAAGCAAAGATGAGGAAACAGTATTTGAACAGGCTGATTTTTCCAAGCTGCCACTTCTAGCCGCCTTTGCTTCTTCTGTCTGAACAGGGCTGCTGAGCAGGGAAGCCAAGCTTCATCGAGACGCGTTGCACAAGGGGAACCAAGTGCCTGGCCACTCGCCCTGGCTATGAGGCTCCACCTCTCTGGGCCTTAGTTTCTTTACCCCAGGTGAGGGCTCTACAACAGCCCAATGAATGCCTCTGGAGCTTCTGTGGAGACACGGGGCAGATGGCCCAATCACCCCCTTTACCAAAGCAGCTCCCCGTCTTTTGTTTTACTGCATCTGGAGTCTATACACGCTAAGATTCAGTAAAATAAAGGTGCTACTATACTTTGACTCCTCTCAAAAAACATTTAGAAACCTACAGACTAATGGTGTATACGGTCAAGTTCTCTTTAGGTGGACTCTTGAGCAAGTTGATTCCAACTCATAGTAGAACCTTTAAGACGGGGTATAAAACTGCTCCTGTGGGTTTCCAAGACTATAACTCTACAAGAGTAGAAAGCCTCATCTTTTCCCTGATGAGTGGCTATTGAAGGGATCAATGTACTATAAATGTAGCAACTTTAATAAGAAACTTATCTCCTTAATATTTCTTTTCTTTTTATAACAGTAAGAGGAGGCTTTTAAACGTTATCGTTTAATTCCATTTTTCCACAAACTTTCTGAAGCACCTTCATATTTATATTTTCAAAATGTTTATACTTTTTGTTTTGGGTTAAGTTGATCATTTGGGACATCTCCAACTTCCACCTCATTGAGATGAGCTTTGAACTGTTAAAAAATATATTTTTGTAATCACTCTAAAATACAATAGCTATATATTCATATTTAAAGAAATTTTCTTGTGGTCACAGGACCCATGTTGAAAGTTTTATCCCAGACTGAATTATCAGAACACATTAATATTACAGCGGCAACAAATGCATACATATTAGAAAAATGTTCGCTTTCATCTTCGAAAATCTAAAGAGTATTTTCTAAGATCATACTAACTAATTTAGATACTCTAGGGAGCATCTAGCACCGTTATCAAGGCTTTCATAACCCCAAGTAAACAATCACCTTCGTTTTGTGTGTGGGAAAGGAGGGGTGGAAAAGAACAGAGCTCAAATAAAACTGCCTTTTACTTCCTATTTCTTGAGTGGTGCCTTTGTTTACTCAATTAAGCATTTTGATCCCACATGGGAAGCCATCCCCAAGAACAGAAACACAGTTAAAGACCTTACTATGCAGGGGCAGTAATAGTAATACTGTCACACTTCTGTTGCCACAGCACTGATGAGACTTTTTAATTTATTATTGCATTTTCAACTCACACTCTAAATCTGTATGCACTTGGTATCAGCCTTTAGGTTGGAAAAAGTGAATGATATTTTGCTAGTTCACCATTTGCGTAGTGTGGAATTCATCAGTATGAACTCAAGCCACTCAGCAAGCAAAATAGAGAGAAATGTGGAGCACCTGTGAATTTCCCACAGCAGGGAGAGAGGTCACAAGACCTTTGCCCCCACCCCACTGTGTCAGCTGGAAAATGGTTCATCCAGAAGACTCCACGGAAGGTACTCGGGCCCCATAACTCCACTTCTGATGAGGAAAAACGTTTCCAGCCTGGAGCTCGCCTGGTGAAGATCCCAGAAAAATGGGGCAAACATTCACTTGCGGTAAGAAAGACTCCCCTTGTTAGAGAAATGTAAGGTAGACATCCAAGCCGAACCACCACGACTCAAGCGGTTTGCGCTGGCTTCCAAAGATGTCAGATGTGTAAACAACAGCCCACCTCCAGTTGCTATGGTATTCAACACCATTTGTGTTGAATTCGTCTTATTTCTTACTTTCATTTGCATTGTACTGTAGCTGAATTTACTCCTCAGCTCCAAGTGTTTGTCCCTTCAGTTTCTTCTGGGAATATCTCTTCTTCTTGTGGCTTAGGAACAACTGGTTTTGTTTTGTGTTTTTTACGAAGGATCATCGTCTCAATGGAGGGACTCACATACACGCTTTAATCCGCCCTGAGTCCTCAGTGTGGCTCGAGTAGAGTGTTCCTCCTTGCTTTGATAAGCATGTGCAGCAAACATCCTGAGCTGCAGTGTCATTTGCAGTTCTGTATACCCTTGATGACCTCCGCACTCTCCTGGGTATTCTTGACATGGACCTGAAGACGGCCTAACTTGTGTGGTTTTTCTGGGTCAAAGAGTGGTGCACCACTTTACAAGTTCACCCCTGGCTGCTCGAGGGACGATCAACACCAGAGTTCTCTTTAGGGATGGTCCTAAAAGCTTGATATGGAGACTAAGCAAGTTCTGCCTAAATCTCGGTGTAGGAAGAGTTTTCTCAAGTTGACCTCTAATAAGAGTCAACTGGTGGATGCTCACACGATACTCCAAAGCTACCTGGCTAGTGAGCGTTACGGAGAAGAACGGACCCTTCTGACACCTCAGGCATCCCAGAGGCTCAACACAATGGGGACACTTCAAATTGAGTCTGAGTAACTGGTCAGAGGAACACGTGGCTGTCTTCTCTGAAGTGCTCTTGGCACTCACGGCTGCATGCCCATCGCCCCGGCACGTCAAGGGACTGGAATGCACTTAGAATAATGTAACTGCTCCTCAGGAGCATCTGGAGCCCAGCTGCCTGTCACAAAATATCTATTACACACAGGGTATCATGCACAAGTCACACAGCATCCTTCTCTCAACCCCTCCTTAAAGCCCCATTGCTCTTAATGCCATAGGAATCGGCTCTCCAGCACCCAGCCACGCTGTGTGATATAGGAAGAGTCCTAAGATCCCCAATAAATAATGGGCTTTAAAGCTAGAGTCAGTTTGGGCTATGCTCCAAGGGCTGGCTACTGAAGCAGAAATGTTTTAATTTTCCTTTGAGAATTACAAGTCAAATAAAAGACTATTACTACAAAGTCTACTGCTTCCCCCATCCTCCAGAACTCTATTTATAAAAAAGAAAAAAAACCCAAACTGCGCTTATAGAAAAGGAGGCGGGTTGTTTCTATGGATAGAGGTTTTCCTTTTTCCATTCAGAGGTAGGACACATCTAATTCAATCCTTCTGCCTACAAAAACGAAACAAAATTGAGCCTGGTGGGGAATCTTAATAGCATATATTCTGAGTGGCCTCCAAAGTAAATGAGCCTTGACCTTCGATGTTCTGAAGCTCAGGAAGAAACAAGCAAAACCTGGCTTTAGTGGAACAAAGACATTTATAGCTGCACCCATAATGACTACTCACTTGAAAGAAACCCCCCTCTTCGGCCCTGTCCCCGGGGAGGACTCTGAAGACAGACTGTGCAGACCGGCAAGTCACTACCAAGGTTCTAGAAGAGCCACACAGAACACCAAGGCCCCCAGGCCCCTTCCCTTCCTTCACAGTGAAGTGCCTGCCCCATCTCCACACTGAGGGACAGTCTCCTTTGGCTTTCCACTGACACACAGCACTGCGTTCTGGAGCTGCATTTGTTTCTTGTCGGATACTTTGGACACAAAGGAAGGGGTTTAAATGCCAGCTCAGCTACTTCTTAAATGTTACTCAATTCTCTACAGATTCGTTTTTTCATCAGTTAAGATGGAAAACAGACTCCTCATAAGACTGTGTGAAGATTAAATGAAATGACAACAATTCCAAAAATACTGGTAAAGCCAAACTATAGTTCTTTATCAAATTTGGGGGGTGGGGGGAAAAGACCCTAAAAAATTAATTTTTTTAAAAAAGAGAAAGACTCTACTATCACTTACTTGTGGTAATTCTCCTTTTTCTCATCTCTCCAGTTTTTATTTAACTGGTGAATTTTCACAGCTACGTATCTTTGCTCCGTTAGATCAAATGCCTACGAAGAAAAGTAATACATTATATTCAGGATAAACACTAACAAGAGCCCACAGGCAATCGACAGAGCAACACAACCACAGTCTAAAGGACATTAGAGAAAAGCAGCAGCAGACGACGACACATCACATACTTATTTCGGTTTTGCAACCAACCGTCTTCTTAAAACTTGTGATCAGATCATTTAGAAGTCTCCAGACGCACTGGCACCAAGGGATTTAGGAAATAAAAACAAGTATACACCACAAGCAGAAAGACAGCCCCATGTCTTAACAGTCACTTCCAAACAACTCTCCTTCCGGACAGTGTCTCCCCTCATTTGGACCGTTTTCCCTTCAGGGTTCCTCTCAGTGCTTAGCTGACACAGGACATTTTCAGGTGTCTACCTAGCTGGGTCCCTGCCACTCTTGGAATGCTGGAGAACACGCACCCGTGTCCAGCTGCAAAGTGCCCCTTGAGGAAATCTCCTCCCCTGCCCTCCCAACCCCCAGGGATCTATCTTCTTGGCATGATTGTTTAGAAAATAAGCCTATAATTTGCTATGATGTGTTTACTAAAAGAAACAAAACCCCAAAGCAGCCCTGCCTTTATTCTCGCCCCTCAACTTTTATAAATGAAAAGTGGTTTTTGATCCCAAATATGCCAGGAGCTAATCACATTGAGTGACTTCTCTGGTACTGTCTAGAGCAGAGGGTCTTCGAACTTTTTAAACAGGGGGCCAGTTCACTGTCCCTCAGACCCGTTGGAGAGCCGGACTACAGTATTAAAAAAAACTATGAACAAATTCCTATGCACACTACACATATCTTATTTTGAAGTATAAAAATAAACGGGGCAAAAAACACCCAGCGGGCTGGATAAATGTCCTCAGTGGGCCGCATGTGGCCCACGGGCCGTAGTTTGAGGACGCCTGCTCTAGATAAAGGACCAAAGACAAGACCAGCATCAGTTCTGGTGAAAAGAGAAGGCAACAAGTTTTTTTGAAAGCTAGGTATCACAATTCCCTTGTGGCAGGAAAAAAAATGATGAATTCCTTTAGAGTGTGAATGGCTCTAATGGGAAGGATCAAGAACTAAATTTCATGATTTTTTGTTTTGTTATTTTTTTTCATGATTTTAAAAATGAGTAAATCTAGTTTCTGTTGTTTTTATCTGAAAAGAGAGCTCATTATGTTACTCCAAAGATTTCCCATATGAATGCATATGGGCACACGTGTAAATTCTAACAGTGAAGGTCCACCTAAGAAAAAGGGGGAGATTAGCGTAGCAGCCTGGAGGAGATGTCACTTGATGCATTTGTTCTGCATTTTAAAGCCAGTGTCAGAAACATCTAGAACTGTAGAGACTGTGGCTGGTGAAGCGCCATGGGTTCACAACTACAGTTAAAATGATGACAGGTCACTACGGTGACACCACAGTCCATGCCCTGGGCCAGGACACTGACTGGAGTGCCAGCGCTGCTAATGCTCTGATTCAGATGATGAGAACTTTTTAAACAACAAAAACCCGTGTCTTTCAACCAGAGCTAGCTTTGACAACATGTTGATTTTGTAAAAATAGGATATTTTAGTGAGAAAAAAGAGTATTTAATTGTGGCAAATGTGTAGGTGGTAAAAAGTATAGAACTGGACTAAAATTTTATCATCATTCTACCACCCAGAAATGTTGATTCTTTATGCCTTCCCATCTTTAATCTATATTTGTTTCAAAACTGAAACCAGGATAAATTATTATCTTGCCCAGTCACTTCAGTTTATTAGCAGCAGTTCCCAATGACACAGCTCTTCGTTTTTTGAATTTCAGTCACTAGATATAAACTCACAGCACCAGTCCAAAATGTTCTAAGTGAGTAGAAATCAATAATGAAGCCCTCAGTTTTGCACAATGGCCCACTTCATACTTACCTTGTAAACTTCACTGAAACCGCCTCTACCCAAAAGATGTAACAACAAATATCTGTCATTTAGCGTTGGGTGATCTTTAAATCTGTGGAAACAGGCAACATATATGTCCTGAGGTCAAGAATTATATGGCCTCCTAGACCGACACAATCCCCAGAATATCCAACATGTTATCTGTATTATTGATATTGTGCAACAAAGCTGCTGCCAGTAGTTTGACAGCCAACATCAATATAGCTAATTCTGATCACAAAATAAATTCTACAGTTCAAAGGGGCAGCATAATTACAGTCAACGCCACAATTCGCCCTGTGATCTTCCTGACGACCGTCCCTTATCCACTAGGCTAGAGCAAAGGGACAAAGCTTTGATGGCACAGCAGCTAAAGCACTTGTGGGAGAAAGAAAGACGTGGCAGTCTGCTTCCATAAAGATTAAGGCCTTGGAAAGGCCACGGGGCAGTTCTACTGTCCTACAGAGTCAGTAGGAGTCAAAATCAACTTAGTGGTAGGAACAAGAGGGAAAGAGACTAGACCAGAACAGGTATTTCAAACTGTGCTGTTGGGGGTCTCCCGAATCATTCATGAGCCACAAGTTCCCACTATTCCAAAACGATATCCAGTAAAATTCCAAGATATTTCAAACTGAAAAACAGATTTGGTTATGAAGTGAATCCCACACTCGCTCTCTCACTAAGACAAAAAAGCTACGATAGAACTGATTTCCCCATTTTTTAAGTTGACAAAGAAATGAGAGAGTCTGACAAAAATAAAATTTTAAATATCTGTACCAAGCTCCTTATTTTAAAAAAAATATTTGTTTCAAGTGTAAATTCACACAGCAAACGAGGTTCGCAGTTGACAATGTCTACACAAGTTGTTCAGTGATGATAGTTACATTTTCTATAATTTATTCACATTCTTGTTAACTGTGTTCTGGTTGTTTGTTTCCAGTACTCTAGTTATTCTACCCACCCACCCCCAACTCGCACCATCTGTGTCTACCTTTGTTTTAGCGAAACTGTGGACTCTTGGTCTCACACTATTAAGTCTGAAATTATTTTGATTTAAGAAAGTGACATGCCTGTAGAATACTTTGATACACTAATTCTGCATAACTAAACCAAGACGACAGTGCTGTATGGTGGTCAGCTTTGGAGACAGATAGGATTCCACTTTGACTCTGTTCACACTAGTTATAGGTCCCTAACCTAGCTTATTTCATGTCTCCTAGCCTGTCAACAGATCTGTGTACTTAAGATGGCCCACCTCCATGGAATTAATGTGCACCGTCCTGGCACACAAAAGTGCACAGTAAATTCTAGCTCCTGTTCTTGGTGCTTTACAGCTCACCCTGACTAAGCAGATACAGGCTACCCCTATGTTTAAAAAAGCATGTTTCAGAGTCAGAAACGTGGGGAAAAACAGGTTTATCAAGGGAGCCATTTCCCACTTGTTGCCTCCTTTTCCTAGTTTCAGCACTTTAAATAATTTAACTATAAAGAGGAACATTAACGTCCAATTAATGTGCTGCACTAAAGAAAGTCCTGCTTCACATCTCAATACTTGAGTGGCCTTTGAGAGCCATCCAGAACCCTGATGTCCTCTCAACGCGTTCTCTGTACACTAGCACGTGGTCACCTCGATTCCCTCTCATTTAGACTCTAGAGCAGTGGTTCTCAACCTTCCTAATGCCGCGACCCTTTCATACAGTTCCTCATGTGGTGGTGATCCCCAACCACAAAAGTATTTTCGCTGCTACTTCATAACTGTAATTTTGCTCCTGTTAAGAATCGTCATGTAAATATCTGATATGCAGAATATATTGTTCATTGTTACAAATTGAACATAATATAAGCACAATGATTCATCACAAAACCAATGTTATTACATATTGTGAACTATTTCTTTCTAATGACAAATGAATGACATGTTGTCTTGAAGCCTGGTGGAGGGCGGGTGACGGTCTTCACGCCGGGTACTCTTGGTGGGGGCTCTGCATGTGGGCAGACCCGCCTGGAGACAGATCGAGGAGCGGTTCCTAAGACCATCAGAAATATGTGTCTTCTGGTGGTCTTAAGCGACCCCTGTGAAAGGGTCGTTTGACCTCCAAAGGGGTCAGCGACCCATAGGTTGAGAACCGCTGCTCTAGAGATAAGCAAATCTGAATCTATCATGTACCCAAACTAATTATATTGCAAAACTCTATTGTTTTAGTGACCTCTGTTCATATAAAAAGGTTATGGTGAGTGTATACTTAAGTACTTTTTAAATATAGAAATGCAATGTATTTTACATCTACTTAAACTAAAGCAAGTAACAATTTGCTCACAAACCTTTATTCCACGATGACAGCTAAATATAATACTCTAAAATCATTTATAAATTTATATTAAATAAAACATCCTTCTAGAACACTCTTCTCATGTCAGAAAAAAACCTCTGCAATCTCCATCCCAATATCCCCCCAAGGTGCTTACTGTGAGTTGTCTTCATTATGTATCCTTTTTAATTCCCTGATATGTAGATTCCTAACTCTTTCTAGCCTTTCCAGCTCGGCTTGGATCTCAGCTTCCTCCTACAGTGAAAAGAACACACTGAGACTCCCGGCCACTGGAACTTCACCTTGTCAGACATGACACTTGGGAAAAACTTGTTTGTAAGAACTAGAATTTTAATCATAAAAGACAAAATTCACAACAAGTAGTATATAAAATTCAACCCAGAGAGGAAGAGTCGGAAAGGCACAGCCCTCTGCCCCGCTACTCTTCGATGCCTAGTCCCTAGATGTCACCACGCTCACATTTCTTGTGCGAATTGTCGTAAGAGTTTCGTGGATATGTACATGCCAACAAAACTTGAAATAATAAGCCTAATTGAACACAGGAAAAAAACATGAAATTGATTTGCTTTACAAGTACCAGGTTCTGTCTTAAGTTCCCCAGATTTAACAAGACCTGATTAACTGAGTTCCAACAAAGGGGATGAAAACCCATTATGTGAAATCAAAACTAATTACGTGGAATCAAAACCAGAACACCAATTGCAATTCACCAAGTGCTCACTGGGAGTTCCTTGGGTGGCGCATAATGGTTAACACGCTCAACTGCTAATCAAAATGTCAGAGGTTCAAGTCTACCCAGCGGTGTCTTGAAACAAAACAAAAAACACCTGGACATCCTACGGCTGAAAAATCAGCCACTGAAAACCGTATAGAGCAGTTCTCCTTTGACAGAAAACAGGGTGGGCAGGAGAGTCGGAATTGACTTGAAGGGAAATGGAGGAAAAAGTGCTACTAACCCACCATCACCACGAGCAACATCCCCCAAAGGCACATATACTGCTGAACTTAAGTGATACACTCTACCTTTAAGGTGTCTAAGTAAGAGTCCTCAACTATCATTCTAAGAGCTTTGTGTTAAATTAGGGTTGATATTAAGAACTTCGCTCTCTTTCTAGAATACTGATTTCTTTTTCTTTATTAGCACTTCATCCACATCACACAATCAGTAATTCAATCATATCAAGAAGAGTTGTACAACTATCACCACATTCAATTCTAGAACATTTCTTCTTCCTTGTACTCATTGTTATTCATGTAATTATTTTTTTCTAATTGTGGGAAAAATATACACAACAAAACACTCTCCAATTCCACAATTTCTACATGTATTAGTCAGTGCCAGGACTTCTCTTCTTAGCTACCTAAGCCAAGACACAAACATATCACAAGAATTATAACATTAATTTCAGACCCATCTGCTTTTGTTATTTCATTTTTATTGTAAGAGAGCCCGTTGTGAAGCCTTATAATCCATAACTAACATAAGGTGACCAGACATCCCGCTTTTTAACAATTTTTCCTGCGTCCCGTGGCATTTTTTAAAAGTCCCGATTTTTCGAAAGAATGCACGACAAGGTAGGGTATAAGGTTTTCAGCTGCCATGTGGCTATTTCACCAGGAAATGAGTTTAATCAATGGTGTCCCGCTTTACCAATGTGAAAATCTGGTCACCTTGAACTATCATTAAGGAGAAAGTCTTCTCGTTGGGTGGCTGGTGTTTCCCCACTGGAAGGAGTATGACTAGGAGGGCAAGACGACCACTGCATTGGCCCAAAGTAGCTTAATAAGCAAATGCAAACTAAACATTGCATTTCTCACAGCAGATCTTTCCATTTGTACTTACTTTTTTAAGATGGCCTAATCTGAGTTTGAAGATTTCTTCTTGTTCATGGTATTCTGCTAACGTTAACCTGGAAAATAAAGCCCCAAAACGTCAGTGAATTATTTGAAATTATGGGTGGGGTGGGGTGGGGTGGTTGTGTGTGTGTGTGTGTGTGTGTGTGTGTGTCTACTTAAAGAGATATGCCAATACATAAACTATGTGTTTCAAAAAGTTTGTGGAAAAAACAGAATTAAAAGACAAATGAACTATTTCAGGAATGTTTGGAAGCCCCTAAAAGATAGGTTACCTTGCAGTCCTCTAAGAAGCCCTCTTGAAATCTGCTAAGTCCAATTTGTGAAATGAAAGCAGTTGGGCCATATTTATAGAATGGGTTTGCCCTATACTGTACATTGTCCAGATGAGAGCCTTTAAGGTCCCAAAGTAGAAAAAACTATGATGTATTAAAAAAAAAAATGTTAAGGGCAAAACAATAAGCCAATAAGTTTCATTATTCCTGGTTTAACTTGTGAGCCTTGGTACTCTGATAAAAAAAGAGAATCCATTAGATAAATGAAGAGAGTCAGGATATAAAGCCTGGGGACTAGGGTTCAAGGAATAACTTGGTCACCAGCCCATGTGGCCCTGGACAACCAAGGTTAACCCGTCCTCAGTTTCCTTAAAATGTAGCAATTAATACCAGTCTAAAAAACTTTTGTGACTATTAAATGAAAATGCAAAGAGAAAATTCTGTAAGTTATAAACTCCTATTTAGACATAATTATGCAGGGCTGACCTAAAAGGGCACCCTCACTTCACTGTCCCACCAACCCTGATGTCCTCTTAAATCTCAAGAACAAGCATGGAGAAAGTGCTACCACACTACTCTATCAAGTACCTGCGTCACCTTCTAGAACCTGACAAACATGAAGGTGCTTCAAAAGGTTCACGGTAAAATGGAATGGAAAGATAATGGGACTTTTCTTCAATTGTTTTGAAGCTCCCTCAGTACTATACCTCAAAGTTTTAGAACTCACTATATAGATCTGGCAGGGGAAATAAGAGATTCATTCCTATTCTCAAAGGAAAGCCTTTGGGATGACTCAAAAAAGGACACTCTCATGGAATCGAGGATCAGGCATCAAAGAACAAAACGTCATGTCATTGTGAATGAGGGGGAGTGCGGCATGGGGCCCCAAAGCCCTTCTGTAGGCAACTGGACATCCCCTTACAGAAGGGTCTCGAGGAGGAGACGAGCCAGTCAGGGTGCAGTGTAGCAACAATGAAACATACAACTTTCCTCTAGTTCCTAAATGCTTCCTCTCCTCCCACTATTATGATCCCAATTCTACCTTACCAATCTGGCTAGACCAGAGGATGTATATTGGTACAGATAGGAAATGGGAACATAGGAAATCCAGGACAGATGATCCCCTCAGGACCAGTGTGAGAGTGGTGATACCAGGAGGGTGGGGTGGAAAGGGGGCACCAATTACAAGGATCTACATATAACCTCTTCCCCGAGGGACAGACAACAGAAAAGTGGGTGAAGGGGGACACTGAACAGTGTAAGACATGACAATAATAATTATTTAAAATTTATAAATTATTGTGAGGGAGAAGGGGCGGGGAAGAGGGGGAAAAATGAGGAGCTGATACCAAGGGCTCAAGTAGAAAGAAAATGTTTTGAGAATGATGAGGGCAACAAATGTACAAATGTGGTCGATGTATGTATGGATTGTGATAAAGAGTTGTACGAGCCCCCAATAAAATGATTTAAAAAAAAAAAAAAAGGACACCCACCCACTATACCTGTTGCTTCCATCTCTTCACTATTGCAAAATAGCATACATATCCACTTGGGAGAAGTGAAAAATAAACATAGCTAATAAGCATTCTTTATGCCTGAAATAAATTCAAGTCCAAAAAGAAAAATTTAATTCACTCCAAGACACTAGAGGCCTCGTTCTTTGGATTTGGCCGAGGGCATATGCCAAGTCACAGCTACGCTCATCAATTAGAGACCCGATAGAAGGCCTTCCAAGTTTGGGTTTCACACGGAATCCAGTTGGCCATGGCTTACTGACACACAATTGGCCTAGATTAAATTCTAATTATTGTTTTATGGGCCTCTTTATCACTATTATGCCAATGATTTTTTTACACTGGCATTTAATAATTTTCAAGTAAGATTAAAAGGAGAGTTCTTTCTTAAAATAAATACAGACATCATGAAAAAAGCAATGAACAGATTAATGTGCACACTGTTTGTCTGGAGAATCCTCAAATTCAAAAAGCTCCCCAGTGTCTATCAGATATGTGTGTGGGGTGTGGTCTGTTGTTAAGCTATCTCACTAGAATCAAGGAATACACATTTGGGGCTGCCACAGACTTTAACAATGGTTTAGTGCAAGTACTACTGAGGTAGATTCCAGGTTAATTATGCTTTTATAAACTGATATGAAAACACACAAAAAATACATTTGCCTATCAATTAAACATTAAACCTTCTATTTGCAGTGATCTTCAGGCCTGCAATGGTAGCGCAGCGGGTTCAAAACTACCAGCTGCTCTTCAAGAGAAAAGTGTGCTCCTGTGAATATTTACAACCTAGAAACCCACCTGGGCAGTCTTATCCTGCCCTAGAGGATTGCCATCGCCACGAGCTGGTATCAACTCAACAGCAAGCATCAAGTTTGGTTTCAGTTTGGGCTTAGAATTTATTTTCAATATAAAATGCCACAAAGATAGCACTAGATTTATTTCCCCCCTTGAAAAATCACTCCAAAAAAAAAAGAAGAAAAAGAAAAACCACTCCAGTCACTGTAGACATATTGATTACAATACCAGTGACTGTTTCTATGAAAAAACATTAGCTTTAAAACATTTAATTCTGAAACCAACTTTGTGGTGACCGCAGAACCATCTGGGCGCCTCCTTGGGGATTGTCTACAATTTATTTACTGACTCATTTATCATTTTTAACTTTTGAAGAAATCATTTTAACGTGATAATCTCTTCATTGGTATATATATACAAGGGACCCTCAGAAAGTTCGTAGAACAGTAGAATGAAAAGATAATGGAGTTCTTCCATAACTTTCTGGAGCATCCTTGTATGTGGCAGCAAGAGTACTTTAAGTTGTAGAATTCTTGCTTCCCACACAGGAGACATGGGGGTTTCAATCCTGATGCACCTCATGCATAGCCACCATCCATTTGTTGGTGGTCGGCTGCTTGTGGATTGGAGGCCAAACAGGCTTCGGGGGACTTCCGGTTAGACTTCAAAGAAAGGACTGATTTTAAAAATCATTCATGGTCAAAGCCCTATGGATCAAAACAGTCCAATCTACTACAGATCATGGGGATGGATGGTGTAGAACAGGGCAGTGTGCAAGGTCGCAGAGTTTGGGGGTCAACTTGGTAGCAGCTAACAATAAGTGATGTGTAGGTGTCATATTTCCCATGCCAAATCTATTGGGTAGAGCTGGCCTAGTGAGCAAACTGTAGCCTATGGCCCAACTGCAATGATCAATTAGGGCAACCTAGCAAGGTGGGAGAATAGAGAAGGAAGGTATCTGTGCTGAGATCTTCTATCCCTCTTCTACAGAGCTGTGCAGTGACTCTTGACTAACCATTAAGAAAAGACAGTGACTGTGCTGCAAGTTAGGATATTGGCGTCTTTCTAAGGTGCCCCAAACAGAAAATCATTCTGGGGATGTCAAGATTTGGCTTTTTGTGAAGAGAAAAAAAAAAAAAAAGGTCTTTTTCCTAAAATAATACCTTCTTTGGGGTTAAAAGTTTGTGACTGTTAACTAAACAAGCTGTATAACCTACTCCAGTATGCATTAGCGCTCTGCATTCTCCAGTCTGAAAGAGAAGCCAGGCAATCCTTGTAAGACAATATTAATGTATGATAACCTAGTCACACATCAGGAAGAACATAGTATGAATACAATAACATAGCAGTTGTTGTAAGAGTGGCCAAAGATCATGTCAAATTAATTGAGATTACTTCTCTCTCTGTGAACCTCCTTAAAGAAAGAGCAAGACTAAGAAAGCCAGTTAATTGAACCCTCTCTAACTTTCATGAATTGAGCAAAGCTATTGCACGGTGGCATTCAATAGACTATTTGTATTTGGGGTCAGGGTGTGGTGTCTCAGAGTTCACATCAATGAAGAACATACGTTTCATTTTCAGCTCCATTGGTCTTGCTTTTCCGCTGTTTCTGCTCATTGGTTGCTGGAGGGGCCTGGCCCATGGCAGGAGGTTTCCGCTTTGCTAACATTTTCCGTTGTCTTTCTATTTCTTCCCTCTGTGAATTTATCCTTTCCTGTTGCCTACGGATATAAAAGATGTTGAGCAAAAGAGGAAGGTCAAACTGTTTTTAGATAGCTATAGAAGAAACATAATTGTATTATACATATATTGTATTTGCATATTAACAGGCTCCCTACGTTACTTATTAAGATTGTTTATCTATTTATACTTAAGAAAACCATTAGATGTACTTCATTTAGGTTCACTTTGGAGCGTATTATGTTGATAAACTGTAATTTCTCTTAAAACAGGAATCACATCTTATCAGCCCTTAAATTTCTTAAGCACTTATGACAGTGTCTGCCAATGAGCTGATCCATCAATAGCTCTCGCTTTTTACCAATTTTATTGTGGGCTCACCCTTCATCACCCATGGAGTAAGTAGTAATGAGATGGTATATCTATTTCACCCAAATTGAAATCAGTATATTTTATAAGTTTTTCTTGCAAAAGAAAACAAGATAATCAGTCTTAGTTAGGTACTACTGTATACTATAAATAACTAGAAAAAGCACTAAAAGACATTTTCTTATGCTATTTTAACAATTTTTTAGCAGTGTGTGCATATATCCACTGAATACTCAAGGCTAGAAATGTAAACGGTACCCAGGATTTCATATGCCTGTACGGCTGCAATCTGTGAGACTGCGGAGTCTGTCAAAGGTAGAGCTAACGTTTACAGACTAAGTAAAATGGGTTATCGCATTAGGAATCATGCAATTGAGAATTAGAAGGTTCCGAAGCAATCACTTTAAAATGGGATTCTGGGATTCTTTACACCCCAGAATAAATACTAACACCACAAGCAGTATAATGCTGTAGAGTTGCACTTACTCTCTTTGATAAGCAGTTTCTTAAAGGGCTTCAATTTGAAATATAATTCAAATTAATGTTGTTCATAGCAATATAAGCAAAATCTTAGAAAACCATTTTATTGTCTTGTTATTATTTGGGAACTCGTTTAAATTAAAAGTGTGCTGAGTAACATTAATATTTAACTTCACTACCTATTCAGAATAATAAAATAAACCACTCTATACAAGGGTTCAATAAAACTTGGAAGGGAAAAATTCACTTGGCAAAAAAAAAATTACACATCAAATATAATTTTCAGATTAGAAGTAAATTCTACAGCTTAGGAAATAAAGAGCACTCTTGAAAAGCGAGCCAGGAAACAAAGTGAGAACAAAATGGTATAGAGAGATCTGAGACTATATTTGATTTTCTGATTAAATTTTGAATGTCTTGACATTTGTCTCTTCCCATAAAGCTTGGTACTCCTGACTGGTGTTCAGCTACCTCACCAAATTGTCATGGGTGAGACTAGCAGATATAGTCCTTTAAATGGAAAAAAAAAAAAAGTCAGTTTCTGCACCAAAATAAAGAGACAAAGGAATTCACTTACTACACAAAACTTGGAGTAAAATTCCTGTGGTTATGTATTAGCCAAAAACTTTCCCAGGAGAAGATGAATATCCTACCATTTACACAGCTTAAATCTGCTCAGAAACAACAACCACATCTAAGAACCATATTTCAACCCAAACTTGCTGTCATTGTGTGGATCCCACCTCACAGATAGGGCGACCATGTAGGGCATGGTAGAACTACCCCAGTGGATTTCCAAGACTATAAATCTCTACGGAAGTAAAAAGCCATGTCTTTCTTCTGCAGAGCAGATTGGTGGTTTCAAAACGCTGACCTTGAGATTAGCAGTGGAACGTATAACCCACTAAGTCACCAAGACTCGTGGCAGATTTTGTTGTTGTTCTGACAGAATGAACCACCACCTGGGCCCGTGCCTTCTTCACAACGATGCATGAGCCCACTGCCGCAGCCGCTGTGTCAATCCATCCTGTCCAGAATCTTCTTTGCTGCTCTTCTAGCTTTACCAAGCATAATGTCCTTTCTAGTGCCTGGCCTCTCTTAATTACACCTCTAAAGTGCAAGAAACAGTGTCTTGCCATGCTCGCTTCTAAGGTGTATTCTGGCTGTACTGTACTTCTTTCAAAACGTATTTGTGGGTTCTTTTGGTGTTCCAGGGTACGTTTTATACGCTTCATTCACACACATCAATTCTTCTTCAGCCTTCCCTTTCCAAAGCCCAAGTCACATCGTGGTATTTTTCAACCGCCTCATATGCATATGAAAGTTAGAATTGAGTAGGCATCTTGTTTAGACAGTCCCAAATCTCTAATCTGATGGCTCTATAGCAAGGTGGTCATTTTGTACTGCTACTGTTTGTTTTCCACAAACACAAAGGCAGCAAGCTGCTTACAAAGTTAAAAATCAACAAATGTACAAATGTGCTTGACACAATGGATGGATGGATGATTTTCAAATAATAACATATAGCAACAATCGGCAAAAAATTTTAATCCTGCCCTCAAGAATAACTGCTTTTTACAACAACTACCTTTCCGAGTCCAATTTAAGACTGACATTGTGGGCGTTACCACTGGCAAAGACTGCAGTAGGCGCGACGGCTGAGACTCAGTTTGAGCCTTAATTAGGTGATTAGGGCCAGTAGTGGGGATGTGAGTTATGTCTTCTTCCAACTCCATTCTAATTAACCTAGACAGTGCGCACCCTCAGAGAGGTATAGAAAGCGCATTATGACTCGGTAGATTTCCTCGATCACTAGCCATCTGCACTGAGAGCGCAGATGGATGCTGCTCCGAAGCAGGGATAGGTGGTGACCTCAAAGGTCTTTGCTAGATTTGGACTGCATTTCATTCTTAACTCAACAGCTTCTTCTCATGTGAAAATATTAGAATAAATATTAGATTAGAAAGCAAAGATGTACCTAATTAGCTGAAGGCTAATATTTCAAATTTAAAATAGTGACTACTAATGTGGAATGTGTAACTTTGTTAAAGATCACCCAACAAAGATTCCAGCAATACAGTGAGAGCTGCCAGTGGTTCAGGCAGGGTACGAAAGAGGACAAGGAGTAAGGGACATCATTCCTGATGTCAGATGGATCTTGGCTCAAAGCAGAGAATACTAGGAAGATGTTTATTATTGAGATGTGTTATTATTACGATGTGTTATTATAATAACATTATTAAAATGCGTTTTATTGATTATGCATAGGCAACTGTCTCAATCAAAACAAACTATGGATAGCCCTGAGAAGACTGGGAATTCCAGAACACTTAATGGTGTTCATGCGGAACCTGTACATGGAGCAAAAGGTAGTTATGTAATCAGAACATGGGTTTAAAATCAGGAAAAGTATGTGTATGAGCTATATCTATCACACATCAAAATGTCAGCTTGAGTATCATTCTAAGACTCAAATCTTGCTCCTTTTCCATGTTCTTTTGAGTTCTGAAAACAAAAAGAAGTCCAGGGGGGGCAAGATCAGGATGGCTGGTGGATGGTGTAAGATTCTTCAACAAAATTCTCATACGGTGAATGAATGAGCTGGTACGCTGTCGTGATGGGGAAAGAAATTCCTTGTGGTTGCAAATTTCCTGGCCTTTTTGCCACCAATTCAAATAGAAATTTTCTGAATTTTTTTCCTATAAGCCCCCATGATCATCTGTATCCTTCAAGTAAGTCTATCAAGATGATCCCTCTGAAATATCAATTAGTCACCATAACCTTCTGGGCTGATAATTAACTGGCTCAACAGATCCTCTTAAAAGTCACTGTTTTGATCGCACCATCTTTAAAAAAAACGATTTCCCTGACACCGCCCTGACTAGACTATGGCCAGTGCACTTGTCTGCAGCCACAGGCATTTCCTGATGGCAGAAAACGTTTCATCAGGCTTTGTCTGCAGTACACCCATGTCCACCTGAACTGGAGATCTAGTAGCAGAACATTTGTTTTCACCTATTTTGTTACTATGCAAATCGTTTCGCACTCCCCAGTTGATGTTTTAATAAGCTATTTCGAGCAAGGGGAGAACTGCTGAAAGTAGAAAAGACTGTCTATGGAACCCCGACTCACAGTGAGCTGCAGATGGAAGTATGAGAGCAGAAAGTGAAATGTGTAGCTAATTCCCTCGATGGATGCTTGCCTCCTGTGCCATGAGACAAGCACTGGAAAGGACCTAACTACCAAGACTAAATATTGGATCAAAGACTCTATAAAGAATCCTGATGTTGGGGGTGGGAGGATGCAGAGGAGTTTCATGGTCTCATGCAATCCATGGAGGCTGAGTGAACCCCCACAACTACTGCCTAGAGATCATCTTTAAACCATATACCAAAATATCCCTTAAGTCATCTTAAAACCAAACAATAGTTTAGCTTAACTAGTAAACTTGTGAAACTTGTTACTGTTAGCTTTTGATTCTTTGTTTTTTTTCCGGTATGTGAAATTCAGGATGGGTGACTCTAGAGAGACAGTAACTGGTTTCTTGGGGACATGACAGGGGAGGATGGGGGAAAATGAGTGAATAACAAGGAGTACAAGAAAATGCTCTTTTCAGTGCAGGAAGGGCAAGAATGCCAGGACTTGAGAAGCATTGAGGGCTATCTTGGAGGCTGGCTATAACCTTTAGGATATACACTGGTACAGATAGGAACTGGAAACACAGGGAATCCAGGACAGATGAACCCTTCAGAACCAGTGGTGAGAGAGGCGATACCAGGAGGGTAGAGAAGGTGGGGTAGAATGGGGAAACTGATTATAAGGATCTACATATAACCCCTTCCCTGGGGAATGGTCAACAGAAAAGTGGGTGAGGGGAGACATCGGTCAGTGTAAGACATGACAAAATAATAATAATTTATAAATTATCCAAGGTTCAAGAGGCAGGGGGCAGCGGGGAGGGGAAAAAAATGAGGAGCTGATATCAAGGGCTCAAGTAGAAAGCAAATGTTTTGAGAATGATGATGGCAACAAATGTACAAATGTGCTTGACACAATGGATGTAAATATGGATTATGCTAAGAGTTGTATGTATGGATTATGCTAAGAGCCCCCAATAAAATGAGTTTTTTAAATGTTCTTTTTTCTCCCATTTTTAAAAAATTAACAACTTTTGAACATACAATTGACATCCTTATCTCCTGTTTGATAAAAAATGGTACTGTGGTACTTACTGTACAACTCTTCTTGATATAATTGAACTATATGATTTGTGGATTATGTCCCAATAAAACTTTTTTTTAAATGAATATTGTAGTCTTTCTAAAATTATCTGTAAGAAATCAAATTGGCAAGAGCAATTCAAAGGACAACCTACCAGGCAGTGGGTTTATGTCAATGGGGAGGAACCACTAGAAAGGAGAGTGAGAACGGTTACACAACTTGAAGAACGTCATCAATGTCGGTGACTTGTACAAACCCTCGACTTGGTATTTGAGCTGCTGTGTAAATGCTCAACAACCACAAAAATAAAAATATAAAAATTTTTTGAACTTTTAAAAAATAAAAGTTGATAAATGTTTGACTTTAAAAGCTGACAAAACAATAATATCTGTACCAGTCTCAGGTGGAAATTAGCTTACTAACAAAAATAGATGAGTAAGATATTCCAAACCGTCTATATCCTGCAGATTTCCATTTTTGAAGTCCTGAGCTAACAGTAGCTATTTAAACCATTTGAATTTTAAGATTTTAAATGTTAACTCCATCTTCAGAATAAGTAACTGAGGTATCAAACAAAAAAATTATGAAAGAGAGAATTGCTCAAGTTTGCAAGTTGCTGGCTGACATGGGAGCTGGTCTGTTCTCAAGGAACTGACTATCTGACTAAGCTAGCCTTAAGGACAAGTTTCTTCTACAGTTTTATATAATTTTGTATTTAACTCACTTAACTGTTCCTTAAGTCCTTGTCCATTCCATTTTCTCAGAATAAATGCTCAGCAGATTCCTCATGAAAATCCAATACACAATAAAATGCTATCAAGTCAAACTCTAGGTTTTTTTCCCTTAACTTTAACAATTCTGATGCTTTGTTTTTGGTTTTCTGATTACTTAAGAAGCACACATTTAAAGCCAGTGCCAGATGAATGCAGCATGCCAGTAAGGAGTGGGGAGCCAGTGGAGGAGCCTGAGGATAACTGCCCTCCCCCGAGAAGAATTTACTTGAGAGGACAGCACTGAAGCTGCAGCTAGGGGAGTGGGGCATGTCTGATCAGAGCACACGGGAGCACATGAAGGGGGAGGAAGAGTGGAGCACATGCTGACCCACCAGGCCTGGAGGACGATATCCCGGCTCTGAACAGCCAATGCACAGAGTGGACAATATGGCTGATTCCACTACGAGACATGCTGTCCCTTGATGGCCCAGGGTCCTAAGGGGGACAACACTGGAGACTCAGTGTCGGGACTGGCCCAGACTGACTCTGTGACACGGAGGCAAACCACAAAAAGCAACCATGGGAGCAGAGCAGGGAGCCCCTGAGGGAGTACAAAGGACAGATTCTGGGGCCAGAGCATGGTACCCCACTGGACCTGATTGAAGGACATGCGCAGAGATAAAAACATCAGACCTTGATCTATTTACAGGTTTTTCTTTAAAAAATTTTTTCTTTTAATTAATTTATTCTTCTATGAGTACTGGTTTACTTTTTTGTTGTCAATGCTGTGTTCTCACTCATCGCCTATCTTGCTATGGTTTGATTTTTGGTGCATATTATTATCTCTACAGATCTATCTAGATAAGATAGACTGGAGGAGAAAACAACGGGATCAATGGTTCCGGGGAGACACGGGAGAGGGGGAGGCGGATGTAAGGAGGTGGTGCTGACCAACCCAGGGACAGGGGAGCAACAAGTGATCAACAATCAGTGGCAAGGAGGGTGTGAGAGGCCTGGTAGGAATTCAGCAAGGGCAATATAACAGAGAGAAATTACTGAAACGACGCAAATGAAGGCTGAGCATGCTAGTGGGACAAGAGGAAAGTAAAAGGAAATAGACGAAAGAACTAGGTGACAAAGGGTATTTATAGAGGTCTAAAGACTGGAATGTACATATGTAAATATATTTATATAAGAGTGTGGGGAAACAGATCTACGTGCATATATTTATAGGTTTAATATTAAGGCAGCAGATGGACATTGGGCCTCCACTCAAGCACTTACTCAATGCAAGAACACGTTGTTCTATTAAATTGGCATTCCAGGATGCACACGTCCCTGACACGATTGCTGAAAAATGTGTGCATAAGCAAATGTGGTGAAGAAAGCTGATGGTGCCCGATTATCAAAAGATATAGTGTCTGGGGTCTTAAAGGCTCGAAGATAAACAAGCGGCCATCTACCTCAAAAGCAACAAAGCTCACATGCAAGAAGCACACTAGCCTGTGTGACCACAAGCTGTCGAAGGGATCAGGTATCAAGCATCAAAGAACAAAAAATCATCATTGTAAATGTGGGGGAGTGCAGAGTGGAGACTCAGAGTCCATCGGTAGGCAACTAGACACCCCCTTACTGAAGAGTTGTGGGGAGGAGATGAGCCAGTCATGGTGCAGGGTAGCAACGATGAAACATATAACTTTCCTCTAGTTCTTAAATGCTTCCTTCCCCCCACTATCATGATCCCAATTCTACCTTACAAATCTGGTTAGATCAGAGGATGTACATTGGTACAGATAGCAACTGGAAACACAGGGAATCCAGGACAGATGATCCCTTCAGGACCAGTGGTGAGAGTAGTGATGCCTGGAGGGTGGAGGGAATGTGGGGTGGAAAGGGGGAACCGATTACAAGAATCTAAGTATAGCCTCCTCCCTGGGGGCTGGACACCAGAGAAGAGGGGCAGGGGGTGGGGGGGAGAGAAGATGTCGGACAGTGTAAGACATGACAAAATAATAATTTATGAATTATGAAGGGTTCATCAGGGAGGGGGGAGAGAGGGGGATAATGAGCAGCCGATATTAAGGGCAACAAATGTACATATGTGCTTGACACAATGGATGTATGTATGGATTTTGATAAGAATTGTAAGAGCCCTTAATAAAATTATTTTTTTTAAAAAGAAGCACACACACACACACCCTCCCCACCCCAGACTTGAAAAGAATTATATATGTAGTGATTAACAATGAAGGAGAAGATATCACTGCTGGGATTATTAATGACTATTATTAGAGAACATTAAGATCCACCAAGGCATCAAGCTCACTTACTTGATCAGGTTCTGAAAAGCATAGCCATCTGTCCATTGTTCCGTAAAAGACGCCCCATGTCGGACAGTGGTAAAGTGACCCAACCTCAAACGGTCTTGCATACTCTTATCTCTGCATGCCATCTTCTCTTGTTTTGACTTAGGGGAAAAGGACAAAACACAAATTTAACTCAAATTAACACAAACTAATTAATAGAGAAAGAGAATTTTTAGAAAGTCATAAAAGTTCAGTGTATAGGGGGGGGGGGGGGCACCGCACACAACATCTCAGAACAGTCCGTAATGACACCTTCCTGCAAGGTGACAAGTAGGGTAACGGATTATCTGTAGGACTTTCCTTCATGAAGTTTCTTCCCTCTGCCTACCTCCTCTGTCCTAGCTTTGGACTAACCAGCACCAAAACTGCTGTCACTGAGTCCCTTCTGGCTCATGGCGACCTTACAGCACAAAGAACTACCCCCACAGGATTTCCAGGGCTGCAGTCTTGACAGAAGCATCTGCTGCAGCTTTGCTGGGGTAGCAGCTAGTGAGTACAAACCAGAGACATTTGGGTTAGCAGCCTAGCGCCACCTAGGCATCTCAAAACACCACTTTGCATGCTTCCAGTTGAATGGACCAAACTTTCCATAGCTATTTCCATGCATATCTCCAGATCCTGCCATAAAATGCCTTCTAGAAGCTGCAAGATGTGTGCACCTCCCCACAGAATTCCTTACTTCGAAGATACTTTTTGTATTCCTGGTTCTTGAGCACCATTCATTCAATACACATGAACTAAAACACCACTGTACACCAGGGACTGGAGAGAGTGTGAGTATAAATCACAGGGGTACATTGGTGCAGGTAATTTTTATTAAGGCGATAGAACCACTGAATATATTAACTCATAAATAAAACTACACATTTTGTTAAGTAACTTAAAGGATATAAGCAAAGTACTGAGAGATGAAACCATGGAATCTACCTTCTTTAGAGTCCTGTTTAGTCTTGGTAACTGACAGGCTATTTATATATGCAGTTGTCCAAGAACAGTTTTCTTCTTACTGGCAGCATTCTAGACGATCTCCTACTCGATAGCCTTCCGTGAGTTTCTATATTTGGGTACGTCTCACTTAAACATGTTTTCCTGTTTCTGAATGTGTCTTTATTTCACCCAGCTAACCTGCCCTTGGAGAACAAGAGCTGTGTCTTATGCTTCTTTTGCTCAAAGTAATTTTTTTTCTAGATTCATTCATGTTGTGTGTATAAAGCTAGTATGTATTTTGTGATATTCACATTTTGTATACATATATTCAAGTGGTGATACATTATTCCTGGTTTGGGGGGGCTGTGAATAAGACTACTGTAAGCCTTCTTATGGGTATATGCTCTCATTTTTTAGGGAAAAGCCAGTACCAGAACTGCTAGGTGACAGGGCAGATATGCATTTTTTCTTTCTTTTTTTCATCTTTTTTTAAAAAATTAATTTATTGGGGCTCATACAATTCATCACAATACATAGATCAATTGTGTAAAGCACACCTATACATCTGTTGCCCTCATCATTCCCAAAATTCGCTTCCCTCTTGGGTTCCCTAATCAGCTCATTTTCCTTTTTGCCCCTCCCCCTCCCCTCTGAACCCTTAATAATTTATAAATTATTATTATATCTCATATTACACTGCCCGGCGTCTCCCTTCACCCACCCCTCTGCTGCCCGTCCCCCAGAGAGGAGGTTATATGTAGATCCATTCCCCCTTTTTACCCCCCCCTTCCCTCCTGGTATCGCCACTGTCACCCCTGGTCCTGAGGGGTTCATCTGTCCTAGATTCCCTGCGTTTCCAATTCCCAACTGTACCGTTGTGCATCCTCTGGTCTAACCAGGTCTGCAAGGCAGAATTGGGGTCATGGTAGTTGGGGGGAGGAAGCGTTTAAGAACTAGAGGAAGGTTGTGGGTTTCATTATTGCTATACTGAACCCTAAGTGACTCATCTCCCCACTACCCCTCTGCAAGGTATGTCCAGTTGTCTACAGATAGGCATTGGGTCCCCATCAAGTGCCACTCTCATTGACGAGGGTATGATTCCCACCCCACCCTCCCTTTGGTGTTTGAAGCCTGGTCTCTTCGGCCCTTCATGATCACACATGTTGGTGTGCTGCTTCCATGTAGGCTTTGTTGCTTCTGGGCTAGATGGCCGCTTGTTTACTTTCAAGCCTGTAAGTCCCCAGACGCTATAGGTCTCGATAGCCGGGCACCATCAGCCTTCTTCACCACACTTATTTATGCACACATTCGTCTTCAGCATTTATGTGGGGTAGGTGGTCACACAATGAGGGTTTTTGTTCTTTGGTGTCTTCTGCCTGTTCCCTTCAACACCTCGTGTTCGCACAGGCTCGTGTGCTTCTTCTCTGTGGGCTTTGTTGTTTCCGAGCTAGATGGCCGCTTGTTTGCCTACAAGCCTTTAAGACCCCAGACACTCTATCTTTTGATAGCTGGGCACCATCAGCTTTCTTCACTACATTTGCTTATGCACACGTCTGTCTGTCTTCAGCGATCATGTCTGGAAGGTAGGTATCATGAAATGACCGTTTAGCTGAGCAAGGTGCTCTTGTATTAGGGGAGTGTGCATGAGGAGGCCCAATGTCCACCTGCCACCCTACTACCAAACCTATAATTATTTGCACCTAGGTCCGTTCCCCCCATAATCTTAAATATATTTACATATGTACATGTCTGTATTTAGGCTTGTATTTATGCCCTTTGCCTCCTACTTCTTTCCTCTATTTCTTTAACGCTTTCCTCCTGTCCCATTACCATGTTCAGCCTTCGTTCTGGTTTCTGTAGTTCCTCGCAGTTACCTTGCCCTTGGTCATTCCCTGCCAGTCCTCCCATCCCCTCCCTACCATTGGTTTTGAACCATTTGTTGTTCCCTTGTCTCTAGGTTGGCCAACTCTCCTCCCTTCCCCTACCTCCCACACCCCCATGTCCCTCCGGGGTCATCGGTCCCTTAATTTTCTTCTCATATTTTTTTTGTCCAACCTCTCTTATCTAGGCATTTACTTAATAAAAACTGCTTAACAGTTTTCCAAAATGGATGCACTTAGGATGAAAAGGGTACACTGCCAGACCTGTTTGTTTCAGTCAGTCTTCTGGCTACGGATGGAGATCTCACTATGGTGTTTTAACTTACTTCTCTGATACTGAATAACATCAATGATCTTTTTCCATATGTTGGCTGTTTGGGTTTTTGTGCATATACTTTAAAAGTGTCTTCCAAATCTTTTCCTTACTGCTAATGCGTTCTCTCTTAAGTTAGGATAGTTCTTTAAGCATTATGACTACAAGTCCATTGTGAGATAATTTTGTGACACTTCCTCCATATTTGTGGTTGCATATTCATTTGTTTCTTTATTTTCCAAAATGGCCTAGCAGCTATTCAGAAAGTATTCCCTATTTAAAAAGTTGTTGAGTAAAATGTACTTTCTTTCCTTCTTTGGTATTTTAATTCTGTTGGAAAGAAATCTAAAGTTTACTATGTCCTTCTGCTAACCAAAATGAAATCCATGAAGGTTGAGTCCATTCTGGAAGCCAGAGAAGAACTGCAGGACATCTTTACAGAAACAGACTGCCACGCTCTTGTGGAACAGGCCACTGGGTTCAAACTGCTGACCTCTCCGTTATCAGCATAATCATTGTCACCAGGGCTCCTTTTACTGCCTCGAACAAGTTGAAAATTATATTCCTCAAGTTAACTCAGTGACTATGGTACACTGTTCAGCATTAGTAAAGCTATCCGAATGTACACCGACTTGAGGAAGTACACTCTAAAACTGTACACAAATTTGCTTATCAACATGTCTTATTAATGTCATTAGGCAGTATTGACATCTTAATGAAAACTTTTAAGAAATAATAATGACTAAAGGCATATTGAGTATTATAAGAAATAATATTGACTAAAGGCATTAAGCAGTATAATAAAGGGAACATCAGCCAATTACAGTATTTAAATAGGCATACAATAAACTTGTCTTTTGAAAGCAAGATGCACCTATCACCTTACTAGTACATAAGTTATTTCTAGAACCAACTCTGAAAGAGAACTGAAAATTTCCAATAGTACACGGATTTATCAGCTGATAAGATCAACATAAAAATTTGAAAAAGAACCACCCCCAAATAAGCTCAGTTAGGATAAACTGTCCCTGTTTAATCAGCTTGACACTCAAAGTAATGCAGAAAGAGAAGCAAGTCCCAAGATATATCCTGGCAGTTTACTTCAGTGTCCAGGTAAAAATCAAAAACTAATTGACAAATCATGAAATCTTTAAAAGCCCAACTTTTAAAAATGTTTTCACCTCAAATATGGAGTAAAGACCCGCAACTAACACACATTAAGCATCTTAGAGTGCTCAGGTCACTATCAATCACCAACCTTTACTTTTGTTTTTCACCAACCTTTTCTATAAGGAGTTTCTTGCTCATTGTTACACATCTATTTAATCGTTCCTTGTATTTCTCTAGCATCTTTTGCTGTTCATCAATCTGCCGTCCCAAATCACAGTTGGCCTTCGATGGAAAAAAATACATACGTTTAATTAACTCCAAAGAAGAAAAATTAATACAAAAGCAATCTCCAGGTAGGGACTCAGAAACATCATTTCTACCTGTTTAAAAAAATTAAGGTTCAAAATTATGAAAACAATTTATATTTTAAAAAGGCAAATATCTCATTCCTTTATCCTCTCTGAGCAGGTCATTATCTACGCATTAATCATGAAGCGTATTACCGGTATTCATGGCATATTACAGGGATATGTCCTTCTACTGATGTTTTCTTCCTCTCAACAACCAATTATGACTGAATCATTACATGACAGCCCAAGGTGTCATAAAATAACTAACTGATGAGATGTTTTTTAATTGATACGAGTAGTTAAACATGTATAGATACATGACAGGGTTTCCAAAGTTCATGGAAAAATTCCGTTGTCTTTTCATTCTATTTTTCCACAGACTATTGTGACTCACTCCATATATTAAAACAAAACAACCACAAATTATTTTGTGTATGTTTAATGTTCTTTTATTCTTTCTTATTTCTAAAAATGAAATATGAATTCACAAAATGTTCACCAAAGAGGTCAAGCATACCCATGCCTACACAAAGCAAAACAAACAAGTTACATATAAGGTCTCTGGTCCATGATTCAAGAATGTCAGAATGCATTCTTGAATCATGATCCATTTATATGGGATCAGAAGCCCATTGGATGGGCTAAATACTTTGAATTAATTCAAGTCTCCTATAATAACACAACTGAAAACAGAGCTAAAGTCCATTTTGATGTACAACTCCAAAAAGTATTTTCGTGTTAAGAAAAAGATGTCTACTCTCTTGCCAAATAAATGTTATTTAATAACTTGCTCAGATTGTAAAAATAAACAAACAAAAAACTGTTATTTCCCAATCCAATGATAGCATTCCTGAAATACTAAAACAGAGCCCAAATGGAAAATATTACAGAAAACTCAATCTTTTTTGGAGGGGGGAAGGAGAAAGAACTCAATCTTTAAGACTTTCCGACTCTGTTTTAAAGTGCCCATGTGAAACCGTTTTAGCTCCAAATGTGCCCAGCGTATGAGGATAAGCATAATTTCTCCCTGTTAGTTCTTGTTAGAGAGCCCTATGAGTAAAAGTAGCAAAGGCAAAGAAATGTAACTACATTAGGGTAAATGAGACTTTCTAATTCATACTGAAAAATCAGCAGGAAACCAAATATTTAGTATTTACATGAAATTCAACCTATATCTGGGAGGTGAACATTTGAAATCATAATCAAATGTACACTGTTATTAGATGCAGTCGAGTGAATATACAGAATTGGCCAACTTCTGGTAGTTTATTTAAAATTTTAGGAGTTCTAAATTTCTTGTGGTTTCTACCACTAGTGTCTTTTTGGAAGTTCATATTTAAAATTACAACCTCTCCCAACTTCTCAATTCAAATGGAATAGTGGTGATTCAATGATAGCTCGTGTCTGCTAAGTCTGCTTGAAAGGTGATATAGACTCATGGTCTCTCACCACTGAGTACCCTCCAGAGGAGAAATGCAAGTTTCTATCAACTTGGAAAAATGCCCGCTGTCTTCTTTCCTTTGATTGGCCTACATCTAAAGAAGGGATATAACCTCCAGAAAACTATGGAGCAGAAAGGGGATAGTGGTGAGTACAGGGAGCCAAATAGCTCCCTAGGGAATGAATGAAGTAGTACCAACTCAAGAGTCCCAATCTTAAGAGAGTCAGTAAGCAGGATCTAGGCTAGCACGGATATTCTGGACACAAGCCACCCAAATACTGGAATTGGGCTTGGGGCTTTCCACACCTTCAAGCCACCTAATGACAAATCTTAGACGGCATTTCAATCAGCATCCAAGTGAGGAAAAAAAAAAGTCAAATGATCTCTTATGGAAACCAAAATAGCATTTTAGAATACTGATCATATTACTACCACACGAAACACATAGACATGGTGCATATGAAACAGGGAGTCATAAAGAATGTACTAGATGGAATAAGGTGAATCAAAGAACTGTACATGTGAATAATGTTTAAATGGCACACATTTTGTTACATATACCTACTACAGAAACAATGTAAATTGGATAAGGTATAAAAGTAGTCCCACACGATCCCTGGTTGCAGATCTGACCATTGTAATCCATTGGGCTTTCACTGGCCAGGCCTTTTTTCGTCTGGTCACTCTACAAAAGCCTGATCAGCATCATAGAAAGATTCCATTGACAGAAGAGTAGTGGCTGTGTAAGAGGTATACTGGCTGGGAGTTGAACCCAACGGGGTATCCTATGGGGGACCAGGAGTCCTGGTGGTATAGTGCGTTATGATTAGGCTGCTAACCACGCGGTCAGCAGTTCAAAACTACCAGGCCCTCTGTGAGACAAAGAGGAGACTCTCTACCCCTGTCTCAGAAACCCAATGGGGTAGTTCTACCCTACCCTGCAGCGTCTCACTGTGAATCAGAATCAACTTGAGGACAGTGTGGTCTGGGTTGCTCCACATGGGAGTAGCCCTTCCTGGTGGCACAGCAATTAAGTGCTTTCCTCTGATAATATAGAGATCAGCAGTTTAAACCACCAGATATTGCATGGGACAAAGATGTAGTTGTTGGTTTCTGTAAACATTTCCGTCTTACAAGGCAGTTCTAATCTGTCCTACCAAGAGGTTATGAGTTAAAATCGACTCAATGACAATGGTTTGGGTTTAGTTTTTATCCCAAATAGAAAGTGATAATTCTGCCACAAAAGCATCACTGCCTCCATTAGACATAAGCACACATTTTCAGAGTAAAAATAGACAGAGATAAGATTCTTGCAAAAACATTTTTATAATGTAAAAAGTAGGAGGTGGGGGAGAGACCTATAGTCATCACAGCCAACATACTATATTTCTGTTCCTTTCATCACAGACTTCTCTAGAACATTCCACGATAGAAAAACTATCAGGATGTGGTTGAGAGACAGACAGACAGACAGACATTTGGGGAAGATGGAAAAGAGAATTCTCAGCTCTACAAAAGCACCAAAAATTTACCACTGACATATCCTTCTGGGGGGGAAAGTTACTTGGAAATATATTCTAGTCAGTCAAGAGATAAAGTAAGACAAAAACTGTGATTTAAAAAAATGAATGCCAACAAGCTTTGAAATATGTTTAACAAACCTGTGTGTAATAACTTATTGTAAATTTGGCCATAAAACTGCCTGTAAAGGAAACTTATTTTAAAAGATAATATTAATAAAATCAATTTTACTAATAAAGACCAAGCTTATGACTTATATATTTGCCAAACTCTAAGTCTTATATAAAAGGAAGTCAGCATACACTATTTTGCATTTTATTTTTAACAATTACCACCAGTACAGTGAATTACTTCTAAATTACTATAATAGATGAAAATGTCACTTTCACCTATCAGTAAGTAACTTTATGAACATGTGCGTGTGTGTGTGTGTGTGTGTGTGTGTGTGTGTGTGTGTGTGTGACAAACAGATCCAAAAATTACAGGAGAAAAACAAACCGAGTGCTTTATCTCGGTTAATGGAATTATAGGTACATGGGGCCCAAGTGTCTTTATGTGGCGCTTTGCCTGAATTCTTTGGGAAAAGAGCTTGAGAGATTTTTTTTCTTCTCTCCTTAAATCCTGAAGTTAATTTAGCCTTTGTTTTCTACCCTAGGTTTGTTACTTTTGCCCAGGTTGACTGCCATTCCCTAGGTGAGCTGTAGACAACTTGGTTTGGGTTTTGTTGTTTTTTGTCTGATCCGGGACTGTAGTCTGCTCTATGATTTCTATGCATCTTTTGGGAACTGGGCAACTGACTATGCAAATAAAGTATCTACAGTTAAAAAAGTGCCTGTACCCAAGAAAGGAGGCTTAGTGATCTAGTGGGAGGTCTGTGCCTTGAATCTGATGGGAGTTTGTCAACATAAGCAGTTAAACCCACAAAGGTGTTTCAGGAAGAGAAAAGCAGGAGGAGGAAAGAAGAGAAAAGCTATGAGAGGAGAATGTTTTAAAGAACCTTTAAAAAGAGCTGTAACCCTGGTCAAAGGCTCCAACATTGAGGACAGTGAAAGGCCCAGAAAGGTCCTAATGATGGGGGTATGGGGGTGTGGGGTGGGGCGTAGAGCCTACAGGTCAGGAAGAGACCCTGCAGCAAGTGGTGACAGATGGCAGGGTCAAGAGGAACCTGCCCTAAAGGGGGTGAGAGGAGCCGAGAGGAGACGGCCTATACGCTTCCTGATCTTGATTTATTGTCTCTTGCTTTTCTTACTAAGTCATTTATTTTTAAGTATAGTTGTTTGAGTTCCGTACGGCCAATGCAAAGAATTACTGAACCCAAAAGACAGTGCTGTGGGAGGGGTGGCTGATATCAGAATTGTCAGAGAGGTGATGTCTGAATGCCAACTACTGATTAGCCTTGCGCTAATCTTGATTTGCATTCTTCTTCTTAAATTTGATGGATTCTGACAAAGCATAGCTGTAAAGTCAATGCTGAATCACAGTGACTAGGACACAGCAGAACTACTCCATACGGTTTCTGAGGCTGTAAGCTCCACAGAGGCAGCCTGTTACAACTTTCTCCCAGAGAAGCCATTGGGTTCAAACCACTGACTTTTCAGACAGCAGCTTAACGGCACTGCACCAAGAGGCTCCTGATCTATTTCTACCACCACCACAGAAAGATAATAAAGATTTGCTTTTTAAAAAACAGGCGATTCCTAATTATCTCAAATTGAACATTTAAAACATTTTATTTTTAAAAGATATATTTTAAATTCCAGACTTGCTATGTATATTTTCTTTTTTAAGCACAAAACCCTTTGGGCTCAATAGGTTTTAAGAGGTATAGTCTATCCCACATTTTATGAAACCAGAGCTGAAAAGTCCTTGAGAAGTGACTTTAAAAATTCAGGATCAAAATAACTTTTCTGAAATGAGAAAATAATGTTTTCAAATGATTACCATAGCTCCAAATAAAATATGAAACTCCACATACCTATTTCTCTAACATTCATTCAAATATTACCATTCTAGAGTCAGACTTTTCTAATTTAAAGAGAATCCTTGGAATGTAAGTATGATTCTGGTTACTACTCAGATTGCTGAAAAACATCCAAGCATTATTCAACTTTGCTATTTTTTAATAATTATTTTTAAGCTACTAACATGATCCAAGTAAATCTAACAATTAGTATCTACTATAAAATCTCTTATAACATCTTAATACTTACTCGTAACAAATCGTCTATTCTTCCTTCTTTCTTCTCTAAGTCAGAATTCTTACTGTTTTCTAGTGCAGATATTTTTTCTATTGTGAGGTCAGACTATGGAGACAAAGGCAAAACAAATTTAGGATTCATTTCCAAACAGTAGTGTGAATATATTCCTTATTAATTTTCTGGGAAAACACACATAAAGCCAGGAATCACATGATGTAAGAAGAAATTCTGCCTTTTCATTCTGTTCTTTCAAGTGCTAGCTGCGTGCCTTGTATCCTGCTACATCAGCACCTTCAAAACATGTTACCTCTGGACTCAAATACATAACTGTGCCCTGAATAACGTAAAAATATACTACTCCATAAATGAAATTCACTTTGAAGAGTTTCATAGGAGAAACGACCCAAATATCTAAAGAACAAATATGCCACCTAGTGGGTACAGAGAGCAATCCGAAAGGGAGAGAAGTCATCTGAACACCCAATTATCTAAGCCGGTCCAACTGTCCCAAGTGAGCGGGGACTTAGATAACATTAAAGAAGTTCACCTGTTCCTGAAGGCCTTCTTTAAAATCACAACTCACTGCCATCAAGTCAGTGCTGACTCAGAGTGACCCCTGCAAGTTTCCAAGGCTCTGTTTACAGGAGTAGAAAGCCCAGTCTTTTCTCTCACAGAGCTGCTGGTGGCTTCCAACTGTCAACCAATGTGGATCACAGCCCATAGTGTAACCACTACACCACCAGGGCTCCCAAAGGTCTTATACCTCTTGACATTTGAGAAATTCTTCTAGATTGCCAACCATGTTGTATTAAAGGCAACACAGATAGTATACCAACAGAAGCCCAGTTTTCTTTTGTCTTTACAAAGTCAGAAGGAATATCCACAACTTTTGCAGGTAGAACCTGCATGTCCACAAGATTAGCTAAGTTAAAGAGAGTTTTTAAAAACAGTTGAAAGAAAATGATGTTGGTGTACATTTTAGTTTATTTTAAGGTTTGCCAAATAAGTATGTACAAAAATTAACTACTTTCATAAAGTAAGAAATTAATATTAAGAGCCTACTGTTAAGTGCTAGTTAGTATTTGTGCCCATTATTAGAGATAATTAGAATTAGCCACATTGTACAGATGATTTGTGGTCAAGAAACACTGAAGCTAGAAAGATAAAAAGATAGTGTCAATTGCAGAGCCAGATGGGAATTCAGGCCTGAGGGTCTCTGAAAGTGTATGCTCTTTCTTCAATACCACACATTTCTGCTATATGGGGGCTTCAAAAAGTTCATGGACATATGGAATTTAAAAAGAATGAAAATTTCCCACAGACTTTCTGAAGTCCTCTTTACAATACACACAAAGAGTCAGATAAAGTCAGAAATCAAACAAGAGGAGGCATCATATTCAGCATGGATTCATTCCTAAGCAGAGCCGCCTCTTCACTGTTCTTCCACCACTGACCTGGGTCTGTCTGTGCTGGATGCAGATCTGTTTTTGGGAGCTGCAGGAATGCTCTGTGTTGCCAGATCCTGTAGAAGAGGGACTGTTTTGCTGAGCCTGTTAATAGAGATACATCACCCATCATAAGAAAATTTTGCATCTTTTTCCATAAACATTTGTGTGAATGTGATGATTAACTACATAAACCAAATCCTGAGGGCTGGCAATCAGAGCCATGTGGCCAACAGCAAGTAAAGCATTTCAAACATTAGGCACAGGAGCTGAGACAGTGGCTTGACCCATGTTCCTAGAAATAGGATTAAAGTATTACATTCTTATAAATGGATTTTTAAAAGAGATCCATTAGAAGAAACAAAGTTAGTCTTGTAACGACATGCTGTTCTCATTTGCTTCTTGATATGCGTTTGTCTGGACAGGCCGGTAAAGCGTCCACAACCCAGCAGGACACAACTCGGAGGGCCGTTTGAATTTGCAAGCAGCATCTAGGAACACATAATGCTCCCAAGTCCAGGCTGATTTCCAGTACTATCATTTGATGGCTGTGGTTGTTATACAAGGATTTATAGGGCATTCCAGGGCATTTTTTAATTTATAAGGTATAGGACTGAACATAATTCAGGACTATTTAATCACTGGAGAGCCCTGGTGATAATACTGGTTCCACAATGGACTGGATCCCAAGGTTACAGTCTTGGAAATCCACAGGGGCATTTCTACCCTGTCCGATAGGGTCGCTATGAGGCAGCATCGACTCGATGACAGCGAGTGAGAGTCAATCATTATACTCCTGACAGTCCTTTTTAAAAATACGAGGACCACTGCACCTACTTTAGTATCACATCACAGATAAGAAATTAAGATATTCTGGGGACAGTGAAATAAATAAGAAATTAAGATATTCTGGGGACAGTGAAATAATAGAAATACAATGATACTATCTTGTCAGAGAATGAAACATTCCCATACATGTAAACATTCCTACTATTTCCCATATACTCATCCATTAGTTTTCAAGTCATTTATCACAACAATGGTATAACCATCATCTATTGAGCAATCCATTGACATTAAGGACTTCATGCAGAATCACAGAGTAACATGACATTATCTCACGAGAACTGAAGGGTTGTCTGCTCTACACTGGCAGCTCTAAATGACGGTGGCAGACACCCAAGAGGACATCTTCATAATACTTACAGGGACTGTTAGACCAGACCCTGAACAAGCTACGCGCTTACTACAATGAATGTCCTTGAGGCCTCATACAGCCTTGTTATCAAAACAAAAAAGTCCAAACCAACTGCCATAGTGACCCTATATAGGTTTCCTGAGACTGCGTGTCTACATGGGAGCAGAAAGCTCATCTTTCTCTTGAGAAGCAGCTGGTGGCTTTGAACTGTTGATCTTACAATTAGCAGCCCAATGTCTAACCCATAGCACTAACTTGTAAGCTAGACAGTATTACAGTGAACCCTCGCCACTTCGCGCTTCGACTTCCACGGCTTCACTCTATCGCGGTTTTTGCGTAACAGCGCATGCTCTGTCATTACTGCCACTGATTGGCTCATACTGTACATGCTTCTGTCTGCATTGCTACGTATCGGAGCTACGTATCTAATGCATTTTTGCTTTTGTACAGTGTACTGTAATTGTTTGTGATTTTTAAGAAATTTTATCTAAGCCCTATGATGGCTCCTAAACGAGCTGCTTCTTCTAAGCCTTCTGACAATAAAAATAA